TAAAATGTCCTACATGTATATTGATGTACTTACACTGCTACACTGTACTTTACTCTATGTATTATGTACAATATGTCCTCCTTAGGCCTAAGACTGTTAGGTTGGACTATTAATAATGAAACTGTCTTTGATACAATAATGATATCAAATGGAGACATTAGCACTGATGAGATACAGAGGAGGTGTGACGAAAAGAAGATAAACATACGTCACTATGGAGACGGAACTGTTAGTTATTAATGAATAGTTATATTAATAGTTAATAAATTTATTTATTAATAGTTATTAAATGCTAGTTATTAAATGTGGTTATTAATAGTTATTAATTTATAGTACGGTGTTTCACTGGATGAGACTGTCATTGGTAGTGATTTAATTGACTTACTGTATGTGTTTGGAGCTAATGAAGAAGAGGTACAGTAATACATGTGTACTTCATAGTTCCATGCTTCATAATTTCATAATTCCATACTTCATAATTCTATACTTCATAATTCCATGCTTCATAATTCCATACTTCATAATTCCATTCCCATACCCCATAGGCTGCCAGTGTCCTGTACAGTGTATCTGATGCTGATTCTAATGTCAGTATTACTGGTAGTGGCCACGAGAGGGAAACACCTTATCTCACTCATCCTGTCTTTAACAGGTAACACACTGTCCCCTCTCTCTCTCTCTTTTTCTGAATATTTGCTTTATTTATTTTTATTTTATTTTATTCAATTTTTTAATGTATTTATTTATTTACATGTACTTCTTTATGTATTTATTTACATTTATTTATTTATTGTTAGTTATCATTCAGAGACTAAGTTGTTACGTTACATGAAGGAGCTTGAGAACAGAGACCTCTCACTCTGTCACTCAATGATACCACTGGTAAATAATAACAACAACAACAACAACAATAATAATAACAACAACAATAACAATAACAACAATAACAACAACAACAACAATAATAATAATAATAATAATAATAATAATAATAATAATAATAATAATAATAATAATAATACACATGTACATGTACATGTGCAACTAGTTAATGATACATGTACGTTATTCTTAAACCTTTGCCTATCAGCCTGATGGTAATAATTTTTTTGCTTGTTAAATTTACTCAAGAAATTCCTCCACCCACACATTATAAGAAATAAACATTACCTCCCTTTCTTCTCAATTTACCCCCTCCTCCCCCCTCCTAGGGTTCCTGTACTATGAAACTCAACCCGACCAGTGCCCTACTCCCAGTCTCCCTACCTCAATTCAACACCATCCATCCTTATGTACCCAGTAACCAGACCACTGGATACCAGAGTCTCATTGATGAGTTGGAGTCTCATTTGTGTAGTATCACTGGATATGATAAGTTCTCCTTCCAGCCCAACAGTGGGGCCCAGGGGGAATACGCTGGACTCTGTGCTATACTGGCCTACCTGAGGGATAAAGGGGAGGGGCAGAGAGATGTAAGTGCCACACCCACTTTGAAATTAAGAGTACATGTATATTTTATACGAGTTTCATGCAATACTGCATACATTTAAATTTAAGATGATTTTATTTGGTAAAAGTAATAATATTTAGTAAATTTTTCTTTTATAAAATAATGAGTTTATTATATTGGTGATTTATAAAAAACTGCCATTTTTGCCAATAAGTTATACTGTATTGAATATTATTATAGATGTATGTATCATATACATGTACATATAATAATATATATTAATTACCGTATAGTGGGTTTGTTTCATGAGGCTAAACTTTTGTTCTTATCGTTCTTCAAGATGGGAGAACGAACAATTAACCAAAGGAAATTCCAGTTTTAATGGGCGTGGTAGCTTATTAACATCTTCAGAACGAATGTTTAACCTCACGAAAGTCATTTTGAGGATGGAAAACGAAAGTTTACCCTCACAAAATAAACCCGCTATACGGTACATGTACATGTACATATAATGTATCTATTATTATTAGTATTATTATTATTATTATTATTATTATTATTATTATAATGTAGATATGTCTGATACCAGCCTCAGCTCATGGTACTAACCCAGCCAGTGCTATCATGGCTGGTCTTAAAGTGGTTGAGATACCAATGAACAAAGAAGGAGAAGTGACTAAAGACTCTTTTAAACAAAAAGTAAGAAAAGGGA